AATTATTTTAGCAAACGATCATAATAAATGAATAAACTTTATAGGAGTCTCTTATGGTGAAGACTTTTTTTTTCACAAAAAATTTTTTACTTTTGTTATTAAAGCGCAAGTCTATTTTTTTTTTTTTGACTTGAGCTTTAAAAAGCGCTTACTTTAATGACTTTTAGCCATTAAAGTTCATTTAAAAAGCTTTATAGAAAAGACTAGTGAATTGCAATTGAATAATCTCGTTACTCTGATTATAAAACATGTATCATTGTGGGCTAAAGCAACCGCCAGGTTTTGTCGTGTCACTCAAATGAAATTTTTTTTATTTGATTAATATTAGTTTATACTGACCATTAAATTTTTTTTAATTTGAATTAAAATAATGATTTAAAACCCTTAAATAGACCCATGAAAAAGTTACTAAAACTTAGGTAAAAGTATCATCCATAGTTACAAAATTTAACATAGTCAGTAATTGAAATTTTAATGTCAAAGCTAAAATCAAAAAAAGGAGGTGTCTAACTTCAAATAATACAAATAGCTTTTAAAAATAAGTTTTTTTTATCAGATACTTTAAAATTAAATTAAAAAAAAAAATGCTCAAAATAAAAAGAACTTATGTTTACATTTTTTGAAGATTGCAATTTAAATTACATTTTTTGAAGATTGCAATTTAAATTACATTTTTTGAAGATTGCAATTTAAATTACATTTTTCTCAAAATTGATGAAGAACATTTAAACAGCGAAAAAGAATGATGAAAAGCATTTAAACAGCAAATAAGAATGATGAAGAACATTTAAAGCAAATTAAATGATCTTGAAAAATTTATATAACATTTTAATAATTTATAATTTATAATTTATTTATAATTTGGACATATGTAAAAAGAGTAATATAAGAATAGCAGAGCAGCCGGTACGAATAAGTTGCGTTCAGCATTGGTGTGGTGGTGAATAGTGGGCTTCAGCGTTGGTGTAGTGATAAATAGTGAGTTTCAAGTTTGTCAAACTTTTGCAATTGTTAAAAATGTTCCTAAATCAAATTAAAATTTTTGAATAGTATTAGATAAACTCAATTTGCACAACATTTTTTGTAAAATTCATTTTAAAGTGCGCTAATGGTTTATTTGGCTTGTCAGGCTATGCAAAAGGAAAATGTAGAATGTGGAAAGCTAAGAATTTAAGGAACCCGAGCAGAAGATTACAAAGTCTTGAACCAGTGATATTTAAGTTAAAGTTAAGTTAAATTAAAAATAAAAATATTCTATTTCGTTAACGTGAATGAAAACTGAATTAAGAAATTATTTCAAAATTGAAAACTGAATTAGAATTAAATATCAGCATCAGAAATGAAAATAGAAGTGAAATTATGAATTATTACTAAATGAAAATTTCTGAATAGGTAAAATTTAACAAAAAATCTGGTACCGAGCTCTTTGATGAAAATAAAATTGATGATAATAATTCTAGATCTTCACAAATAGTGGGAAAAAAAGATGCAGACTTTTAATCCAAAATTTAAAAATAAACAATATTTTATTGTTACAAATTAGCCTATTAGAGTGCATAAATATTTTTAATAGCCAAATATGTGATATCTTAATGTTAGCTTAGTCTTATTCAAATTTTATATAGTACAGTGGATTGTCTAAATAAAATATATTACTATTGGTGCGTCAAAAGGACAAAATAACATTGGAAACTCAAAATGTCAGGAATAACGCAAAGTAACTTGAAGTAACCAAAAATAAACATAGAATTTTTCACGATTTATTTTAAATTATTTTAGGTTTACCATGATTTACATTAAACTAACGTAGTTTTTTAAAAAATACCAAAACTTAAAGCTAAGTTATTGTAAATTCTCACAATAATAACTTATTTATTTCAACTTTAATTCTCATAACTTCCCATAATTTTAGTAACTATAACACCAAATGCTAGAATTTTAACTTTAACTTCCATACTAAACAAGAAAAATATAATTTGAGCCATCAGGAAGAACACGCAGCCATAAAATTTGACAAGTGAGAATCTAAAGAGTCTGAATCGAAGAAGTTTGAACATGAAATAAATTATTATTTTTACGCAAATGCTAGTACACGATCCAGATTGTCGAATGCCCTGCATGGCTCACACACTTCAGCTTTTTTTAAAACAAATTTACAAACATAATTGTGCAACTACCATAGGAACGAAACATATTGAATCAAAATATAAAAAATATAATGTAGCAATTAAGAATCTCATTGACAAATGTTGGAAGTCTAAAATCACTGACTACATCACAAGATGAAACAGTATATATTAGATGATCGCTTAACAATTAAATTTAAAGTCACCGGTGAAATTTCCTCATTTGTTGAACCCTTTGCAGTACAAAAGAATATTCAGCAAACCAATGCACAATCTTTTTCAGAAGTTATGCTCAACTTGAAATACATTTTACAAGAACATCCTATCAACAAGACTTTGACAGCGAACCTTTTTGGAAATCTACGTTGATGGTTTAAATCAACTCTGCAGCTGGACTCTGATGCATTTAATTTTCGTTCATCTGCTGCATGTTTGTTTAATCTAACCGTTGCTATTATTTTTTCACTTTGAGGAATTTTAACTGTTGGGTGCCGTAATTAAATGAAAAAATTATTAGAGATGAGAGTTTTTACGAAACTAAACAAGAATATGTTAATGGAATTCAGGCATAAATTTTCTTACAGTTTTTAAAAAATCTCAATTCAATTGATTTGTTGAATGACTGTTTTATAACTCTAATTTGCTTATTTATACTAGCTGTCCGGACCCATATAACACAGATCTTGGTAATTCTATTCTACACTAACCTTTTTGATGTTTTTTGCTTTTTTGATGTTTATTGAAATTTTAGGCTTTATTAAAAACTCTGTCCCGTTTATTCGTTATAGTATATAATATCTTTATATTTTTTATGTAGGGGAGAGTTGCCATAATTGGAACAGCGCTTTATTTGAGGCACCGCATTTATTTAAAAAAAAAAAATAATTATGGCTATATTTTGTATTTTTTAGTAAAACGCCTTATTTTTTACGTTTTAACACACTTTGAAAATTATCCCTCAAAAAATTCATGTGTACCATTGATTTAAAGCTTTTTTGCGTTATTTTTATTTCGGTAATTTTGTGTTCACACTATATTTTTTGCGTTATTTTTATTTCGGTGATTTTGTGTTCACACTCTATTGATTTTACTTTTATATATAGGTTATACAACTTTTTGTGTTTAATATAATTGGAATTAAAAATCCAAAATAACAATATAAACTTATCTTATAAGTTGCAAAGCATAAAAAATCAGTCCAAATTTTCCTTCATTGGAACTTTAAAGTTTTTCTTACTTAATCAGTAATAAATCATAGGGTTTTAGAAATAGTTTGAGCGCAATTTAAAAATACTTAGTAAAAACCATAAACCTTAAAAATAATACTTTATTTAACGATTTTCAATCAATAAATTAAGAGAATGTCGTAACAGTTGAAGCTTTAATACAATTTTTTGTTTGTAGATTTTCAGTTTGTCAGGGTAATTATAATCCTATTATATGTTTTGAATTAACTGTTTAAATTTTCACTGTAAAGACAAAAATCATTTTTTATCAATTTTTGTTGATTTTACTGAGTTTTTTTAAAAAAAAACAAACAACCTCTTCTGATTAAGGAATCAAAGTGTTTCAATTTAGGGAATCAGTTGCCTTGATTGGAACAAAAACGTACTTTTTCAAAAATAAAATATCTTGGGTTATAAATATTTATTCATAAAGTTTTCTAATTAAGACAACTCTCCCCTATATAACATCTATAGAACTTTAAAAAATGTTTTGTTTTGTATTTTAGAAAATTAAAAATGTGCAAGCAACAGGATTTGAACCCTCGCGTTGTACTCGTGTTGTAAAAGACATTTAATATTTACATTTACTTATAACAAATTTATGAAACGGCAAAAACCAAAATTATAGAGATTTGCCACAATCTTACTTAAATTTGCCACAATTTTAAACAAAAGCAAAACTTTATAAAAATATCTCTAAAACATTAAAAATATTTTAGTTTGTATCTTAAAAAATGAAAAAGATTAAATAAAATTCAGCTACTTAGGCGCATTGTTTTATAAATGCTTGAATACTATTTAATAAACAAAAGACTTATCAAAACAACAAAAAAAACTGCTACAAATAAAAATTAAGGAGATATTGCCGCAATGCAATTTTCAAGTAAAGATAAAACTACTGTAATTGTAATAAATAAAATATAAAATTTTATTTAATTTTTAACATGACATAAATTGAAGTTAACCTAAGTTAGACATTTGCATACACCTTTGTTCACATTTTCTTATAAAAAAATTGCCTACAAGTTTTTCTCGTTATTAACTTGTGTTTATTTGCTGCCGTAAGTTCCGTGTCAAACACGCACTTATGAGTTGCTAGAAATTAAATCACAAGAACTGAATAAAAATTAAAATAGAAATTATATTTCTAACTCAAATATCATTGGCTTAAACCTGATGACCGATTGAAAGCTGAAAATATTTTTAGAGAGGGTACCAAGTTCAATGAATAGATTGGAATGGAAATAATTTCAACAAGATCCTGAAAAACTTGAATAAACTTAATATTGTAGTAACATCTTGAGTTTCTCAAATTATGACCGGTAAAAATGTATGACTGTTCAATGTATGAAAGACTTTTAAAAAGTAAAAGATTCTCATTTTGGTTGAACTCTTGCCACATAGCCTTAATCCTTGTAGTAAATACGCGATATATATGCATGTACACGTGTGTTTTCTTGCAAAAGAAAACGCACGTGTACACACGCATATTTATCGCGTATAAAAAGAAAAGAAAAACAATCTATAAAATTGTTCTTGAACCTTTTAAAACAACATTTTAAAATACTGATATAAACAAGGAGTTTTAAAACTCAGTTTATTAAATCTACTTAAATAAGATTTCTCAATGAAAAATTATTTTACTTACCTTCACATAATTGTTTTTGAGAAAACTTGCGGAAATTAAATAATTGAACCACGCCGTTAGCAAGTAATTTCTTCATATTAAAATTGTACATCTAAAACACACAACAATAATGATTATAATAATGAAGATGATGTATATATATTTATGATGATGATGTATATATAATGACGATGATGATGATGATATATATATATATATATATATATATATATATATATATATATATATATATATATATATATATATATATATATATATATATATATATATATATATATATATATATATATATATATATATATATATATATATATATATATATATATATATATATATATATATATATATATATATATATATATATATATAATAGGTAAATAATACTAAATATAACAAATAAATAAATATTTTAAAAACATTTAAGAACTTAATTTTTTTATGTGTTCGGGTTAAAATACCAATATCATTACTAATTTTATTAAAAAATTCCAGACCAATAAAACTTTCGTTTGATAAATCAATATTTGTTTGAAAGCATTGTTTTTTATGTAGAATATATGCTTAAGTTAAGTAAACTTTTCTTTATTATTTTTTATTTTGCATATATACTGAATATATTTACATAGTTTTTTGTATTTTCAAATATTCTTACACCAGTTAAAAATATTGTTTAAAAGCTATTACTATTTACTTAAAAAGCTATAACTATTTACTGAAAAAAGCTATTACTATTTATATACAAATAAGGGTATTAATTTTTTTAAATGGTTTTACCGTTACGGAAATGTAGCATAATATTATACAAAGTTTTCGTAACAAATGTGAAACCAATAATAAACGAATGCGACATTTGAATTTAACTTTAAAACCTCATCATACACTGTAAAACCTCATAACTTTAAAACAACATAACTTTAAAACCTCATAATTTAATTTAAACCTCATAATTAAAACCTCATAATTAAATTTAAATTTTTTAAACTTAAACTTTTTAAACTTAAATTTAAACTTTAAAATTAAACTAATTAAATAAAAAAACTCATAATTAAATTTAAACATAAAGGCGAGTTTCCACTCATCCAATTTTCACGGGAACGGGAAAGGGACTGGAAAAATAATCACGTGAGCATGCGTAATAAAAGTTTTTATTTGTCCGTAAGGAAACTACGCATGCTCACGTAATTATTTTTTCCTTTCCTATCCCGTTCCCGTGAAAAAACGGATGAGTGGAAACTCACGTTAACTTTAAAACCTCAAAACAACATAACTTTAAAACCTCATCATACACATTCATCATACACAACTGCCCGTGAAATCAAACTATTTTAGTTAACGCATTGATCATGGTGAACACTTGTCTAATTCCGGAAGTGAAACTAAATGTGCCGGCTGGAATATGACTGAAAAATAAAATATTTGTAAGAGTAGTTTATTATTATATCTGGGTCATCCGTGTCAAACAGTCCATGCAGAAGTTTTAGTTTGTGGTCCCCCAATTTTTGAGATAAAAAATTTAGTTGCCGCAAAATAACTTTTAAACTGTATATAGGTGTTATTAGAATATCTAGTCAGTATTTATTCTGATTTATTTTAAAAAACGGATTAAAAATCTTAGAAATAATACTTTTAATAACTTTAAACATAAAAATTAGAAGATGATAAATATTTATTTAGTAAATATTCAGCATATTTAACTTAGTTAACAGTGGTTGGAAACGTGTAAAACGGTTTACTTTAGATATAATTCTGATAGCGTATTTTTGCATAATAAAGAGTTTTTTTAATTCATTTTTATTTATGCACGATGTCATGTTAATGTTATTGAGATGACGATGGAGAATTGTTAGAGTTTTAAACAAAGTGGTTTTGCCCAATAAATTAGGCCAATGCTCTTTGAGGTTTTACCTTCCAAATAGTTCATACGGTCTCTCCATATTACATTTTCGTCGAGGAGAACGTCAAGAAATTTTTAGGAGGCTTCTGTTTTTTTATCGCCATGCTGTATACAAAGTTTTGGAAGTTTTAAATATAATTTTTTGTTCGTTCATGATAACAGGGGAAAACTTTTGTTTTATTTATACTTTGTTTTAAAAAAATTTATTTTATTTATATTTTGTTTTGAAATTTTTATTTTATTTATATTTTGTTTTAGATAAATTTAGCAATAACATGTTTATCTATATACAGCAAGACTTAAGGTTTCTATATTTACTGATTTAGACAGTACTTTTTTATCAATATGAGCACAGGATAGACTTTTATTATCAGCAAACAAGTTTGTGTATAATAATTTTTATATAATAGAATTGGGAGCGGTCATTCTATAGGCCCTTGTAAAACCTCACACATTTTATTCATATTGTTAGTTTTTTTTTCCTCTTTAAAAACGAAGCCACTTATTGTCCAAAACTACCCCACAAGAGGAGTTTTTGACGGCATTGTCGCAGTTTAGGAAAAGTAATAAAAATGGAAGATAAGTTTTTTTAAATTTTATTTTTTTATTGAGCAGTAACTATAAACAACAGCAGAATTAAGAGAATTATTACCAATAACCATTAAATAAAACTCAAGATAGATCTAAAACCATTCAATAATTTTATTGTATATTATAATCAAACAAAGTAAAATCAAAATACTATTGAATATAATCCCACAAATATTTACGGTATTTAATCATACAATAACAATTTACGGTGGTGAACCTTTGACGCTAGTTAGGGACTCATAAACTAAAATGTAGATACGACATAAAATTTTTTATAATCTACACCTTCCATTTTGTCCAATAAAACCCAAACAAATAAATATTATAATCTGAAAATTTGGTTCAACAACACATGTTTACTGACAAAAATTTATCCCAATTTGAGATTTTAATTTTGATTAAAATTGCCGCAGTAAAAAATCCCAACAGAGAACAAGTTTTTAAAAACGCTTTTTTACCTCAGCGAATTTAAAATCTTTTAAAGAGCACTTATTACACACTCAGTTTTATTGGAATCAAATTAAAGTATCTACAGACGCTAATCAAATTTATGACACTTTTTTTAAAACTTTTTATGAAATACATGACATAAACTTTGTACATTTTGGAAGAAAAACTCCGAAATGTACATTTTGGAAAAAAAACTCATGGTTTTTTTATTTTATAAAAAAACCAAGAGTTTATCGTGTCACCGTGGATCACAAAAGATCTTAGAAGATCCTTTAAAATTAAGCAAAAATTGTATATCAAATACTTAAAAACCAAAATACGAAAATAAGATTCTTTATAAAAATTATGCCAAAAAATTTGAAAGACAAAGCGAAAATTAAAAAAAATTGTACTACTCAAATTTATTTGAGATTAACAACCATAATTGTAAAAGCACATGGGAATTTCTTAGAGAATTTACTGGGATGCAGAAAATAAAACCGTGCTCATTGCCCAAAACAATAAAAATTAATGATGAATTTTCCTTTGATCCAACTTTAATAAGTAGTGAATTAAATAAACTTTTTGTTTCTGTTGGCCCTAGCCCCCTCTAGCTAATAAAATTTCTCTTACGGCTAGATGAGTATGATTTTGCGATAACTTCAGTGTTAACATTTTATGAATTATCTTACGAAGGTTTTGAGCAAACTTTTAAAATGCTTAAATGCAATAAATCAGCAGGTCATGATAATTAAAATTGTAAAATAATCGATTCTTATGAACCCCTAAAAGATGTACTATTTAAAGTTTTACATTGTTCAATAAAACAAGGCGTTTTTCCTGATTTTCTTAAAATAGTTGACACCAATATTCAAAGCTGGTGATGTAACCAATCTTTTAATAATCGCCCAATTTCTGTTTTGTCTGTTTTTACTGAAGTTTTAGAGAGAATTTTATATAACGTAATTTATCATCACCTTTCTTCAAATAATATACCATATGTTAATCAATACGGATTCAAAAAAGAAAACTCAACATAACATGCAATAATTCAAATTATTCGCAATATTTCTGAATCTTTTGAAAATTTTCAATTCAAGAAGAGAGTTTTCATAGATTTATTAAAAACTTTTGATACAATAGGCCGGTTGAATAAAAAAAAGCAATTGCTTTTACTCAGTAATATGTCAGTTTTACGTGAATAAAAACCACACAATCTTTTATTCGCATAAAGTTATGCAGTTTACTCAGTAATTGTTCAGCTTTACGTGAATAAAAACTTAAGTAAAACTAATAAAATTTTTATTCGTGTAAAGCTGACCAATTACTTAGTAAAAGCAATTGATTTTTTTTTTACCTGGCCTAATTTATCATAAAATTCTGCTAAAAAACTTGAATATTATGTAATTAAAGAAAATGTTTTATTGTTATTTAAAAGCTATTTAAGCAACCGTAAACAGTTTGTTTATAGTAATTTAACTGATTAATCCAATCTATTAAATATAACCTATGGTGTTTCCCAAGCTCCTTCTCTTTCTCATTTACATCAATGATTTACATAAAGGTTCGAACTTGATAGCTGTCATGTTTGCAGATGGCATTACCTCTTTTTATCTGATAACAACATTATTTCAAAATGTGAGTACCGAATTAACAAAATTTCTGAATGTTTTAAAATAAACAAGCTTTCACTTAATGTTGAAAAAACTAATTGGATACTTTTTCATCCAGATTTTTAAAAAAGACTTCTGCCTTGCAATTTACCATTACTTTTTATTGACAAAAATTCTAATAAAAAGAGTAATTAATACAAAGTTTTTGGGTATCTATATCAATAAAAACCTTAACTGAAAATATCACATAAAATTCTTGTGCGATAAAGTTGCTAAAAGTATAGGAATACAACATAAATATAGAAGTGCTTTAAATAAACATAATTTAACTAAATTATGTTACTCCTTTATTCATTGTCATTTAAACTATGCAAATATTGCTTGGTGTAAAGCTGATAAATCCAAACTTAGGCCTCTTTATCATCAACAAAAGCGTATTACTCGTCTTAGCAATCTTAAAAATAGATTTAGCCATGCCAAGTCTCTCTTATTTAAAATTAAAATTCTTGATATATATCAGCTAAATGTTTTTAACATTCTTTGTTTTATGTACAAATGTAAAACTAACTCCAACCCA